TAGCTGTATTTTTAAGAGGTAGTCAAGTTTTAAGGGTTGTCCCCAAAGTTTTAGCACAAGGACATCATTGAAAAAACAATTGGAGAGGAACTACAGGTCTCTATAATATCTGCTCGAATGAATGCAATGTTTAACCATGCGGATGTCTTCATTACCTTACTAGGTGGTTTGGGCACATTGAAAGAGATCTTTCATATTACCTCTTGGGCCCAACTACATATTCACCATAAACCTATAGGTTTGTTAAATGTTAATGGTTATTATGATAAGTTGTTGTCGTTTCTTGATCATGCTGTGGAACAGGAATTTCTAACATCTTCAACACGATAAATCATAATCTTTGCTGCTACTATTGAATAATTGATTGACCAACTATAATCTTTCATTCCTGTAATTAATCCCTCCATGAGTCGCATAAATTGGTCAAATAAGAAAAGTCGTAGAAAGCTTAGATTGGATTTGAGCCTTCATTTGTGAATCTTTTTATCTTTTGGTTTTCTTATTTTATTTTTTTTGTTTCTTATATTTGTTTAAATATGTTTCAGTTTTTTCAGTGTTTGTTATTTCAGATGATGTCTTCTATACTCTATCTTTCTACCTTAGGACATTGAGGACAATGTCTTGTTTTGGTTAGGGGGAGGGTAGTAGTTAAAAAAAACTAACTATGTTTTTTATTTCATAAAGCATGTGCAAAATTGTTGTTAATAAGATGGCAAAGTAAAAGAGCTCTTTTGTTCAAGTGACTTTTAATACGCATCTTAGTAACCATTCTTAACAAGGTTTGTCATATTACTTCTTGAAATATTCAGGTTTACAAACTCTCACATTGTTATCACTTAATTTTGCTCATATACTCATTTAACATGTATTCTTGAACCTTCATTTTCACACACACACTTTAACATAGATTGTGGGTTGCACATTGGATTATTATATTATTTATGTTTTTTTGTTAAAGGTAACAATTAAGAGAAAGGGATATTATATAATTTGTAAAACTCTCTTCCTTCCTTTCATTTCTATTTAACCCATACATTCAACAAATATAAAAGTGTGTAGAAATGGCAAGTTCCTCAGGTTATCATATAAGAAATGTTTGTGTTTTCAGTGGATCCAGTCTTGGGAAAGAAAAAAAGTTTTTAGAATCAGCAAATCATCTTGGTTAGGTGCTAGCTGAGAGAAAAATTCATTTAGTGTATAGAGGAAGCAGTCTTTGGTTGATGAGGGGAGTGTCAATAGCTGTATTTTTAAGAGGTAGTCAAGTTTTAAGGGTTGTCCCCAAAGTTTTAGCACAAGGACATCATTGAAAAAACAATTGGAGAGGAACTACAGGTCTC